GTTTGGCTTAATGAGTTACGGGACTGAAAAATTTTTTTTGTCTCCAAGTCTTACCGTTTAGGAGAGAGATCAAGGTCCAAAAAAGACTCTGAAGTGTTTCCCAAAATTTTTTAATATACTTCAAGCTCGAGAGTTCCGGTTTGTTTTGTTTTAAACTAGACACCTAACTACATCGTCTGACCGGCGCCGATTTGTCAATTAAGCCTTTATTGGTTTCCAGGCAACCAACAACCTCCAAAACTGGAAAAGCATACCGGATTTTCTAAAAATCCTTAATTTGATAAATAACTGAGACCTAATTCAAAAATCGGCGCCGGTCAGACGATGTAGTTTCTTCTCCTCTTTGAAACAAAAAAAGAATAAACTCTCTATGACAAACCGCTATAAAAAATCTTGGGAAATACTCCAGGTGTAACTCTTATATAGAGAAAACGCTGTATTAAACGCTGTATGAAATACTCAATTTTAGAACTTCTAAAATGCCTGTAACGTTTTAATGCAGAGCCATACAGAGTTGTGCGAGATCTTATTTTGATCAGAAACGTTTGCTCTACAAATCTGTGTTTGGAAAAATTTTAATTGCATTAGTATCCAGGAAAAAGCTATTATTTGAAGATTCAGTTTTTCGAGGCTTTTAGAAAATTCATCCTAGTTTTGAGCAAAACTTGTTCAAAATCCGCAAAAAACCACTTTTGTAACCAAACAGATTCTGAAAGGAGACACTGCGCGCTATCTTCCCTTAACACTCTGTAATTTTACAATTACCTCATATTCACTACTATTAAACGTTATTCAAAGTACACCTACATCCGAGTATTTGACCATCCTTATTTCATAATTAATAATTCAATTGAAACTATGAGCTAGATGTTTAATTATCGAAGACAATAGATTGCGTATATTATATGAATCTTATGATGTTCTAATAATCGACTTACTACCATAAAATTTGCCGCTATTAAACCAATCTTTCAACCTTTGTGCTACTTTTGCTATTAAACTGAAACACCATAAATTATAATGTACTGAATATTTTGATCTAAGTTACTAATGATGATTTGATTTATTAATAAATCTCATCCGATAAAACTTTTCGCTTTTTCTTTGACAAAATCGTATATGATGAAACAAATTTGAATAATTTTCAGGTACATTAAATAATATTAGTCACTTTTGCTTCAACTAAGTTAATTTACTGTTTTTTCAAATGATTCTGAGAACTCATTCAGATAATAACTGAATTTTTCACATAAATATCATTTTGTATTAATTTAGATTACGAATTTATATCAGCTGATTAAGTTTATTTTTATTTTGTAATTTTCGTGATTATCTCTCTTTTAAACTGTTAATCATTATTTGACTGCATGTGCCCCTTGGTTCATATCAACATATTTTTCAAAAGGTTTTTTAATGTAACCTGGTTCAATATTTTTGATTTCCAATCGATCAAAATAATTAACCTTTTTTAAAAATACTAAACATTTGAAACCCAACAGCGAACGACCTGATGAAATGGCATTCCAAAAACCCACTGAACGGGCGTTCAAACAGATTCCGATCTAGCCCCATCGCCATCTGGAACTGGATTTAAGAACTGGACCTGTTCCAAGAACTCTAGGGAGTTCAAGAACCCATCCCACATGGTCTATTAATGCCCGTTCACCTACTACGTAGTTCACTATTACATTTTTCCGTCGAGGTCAGCGAGGATTCAACCACCCGTGCCAATGAGCAGTTTGAATGGGAGATCGAAGAACGGCTAGAAAACTGTGCAGGTCTGGACTGTAGAGGTCGTTTTATTACCAAGTTATAGATGGCGCTACCGCTACTACTTTATTGGGTTATATTATCGGGAATAAGCTCCGACTTGATTCTGAAATGGTGAGATTAGTCAGGTGCTTGACTTATTAGTAACTTTGAGTCCTGCTCCAACAATATGAGTTTTATTAGTAAGCCTAGAAGAATAGATAGAAAGTCAACAGGGGAGAAATCAATATGATATTTTGTCGTTAGACGTTTCAGTATCAAATTAGCTCTCAGTATATTCTATATAAATGACGTTATGATGTTGTTGTTGTTTGTAATAGCGAATCACTAATCAGTTGTTGTTACATCATATTTTTTGTTTGATGTTTCATTTGTACCGCCGATATACTGATCATGTGTAAATTATTTTATTTTATTAAAGTTTTTAATTTTTTATTATTTTAAGTAAAGACAGTGAAAATGATTTTCTGTTCAGTCGCGCTGCTAGAGATAAAACTCACTTCTTTTTTATCATTTCTTTTACTTCGAATTCTCTGGCGAATAGCATCAGCTTGAATTTTTCTCCCATTCTGTATTCCATCTTTTCATATATCCTACAAAAGGCGAAAGGAGACAGCGGAAAGCAGACAGTCACAAAAATTAATTCAGCGTAACTCTCGTAAAATTTTAGCATCTTGACTAATTTGGTGACCAGACTTTGGAACACGTAGTCCACGACCTTCTAAATTAAAATAATTAAAACATATTTATCTGTTCGAAATTTAGATCTTGTTGATAATCCAGCAGATGGAGACAGTTTTTCGAATATTGCTGTTGTCTGAATTTGACTTGTTGAATTGACAGTTTTCAATATTTCCGCGAAATGAATTCGTGCAGTATCATTACTTTCATTATTGTTAATTGACGGTCATTATCATTTCTTGTCACTTCATCCTCATTATTATCATAATTGCTTGGATTACTTCGATGTCATGTACAAATAAACTGAAATAAAGAAATTCAGAGATTCTTTTGGCAACATCGAGCTTTGCACGACGATAATTATTCCAAAAAGCCCACAAAGCAATATCGTAAGTGCTCAGTATCATAATGCCGGGAAACTTACTTTGGTCTGAACTAACTGGGATGACCACATCTTTCGTCTTTTTTCCAGTGCAGTCCATATGTAAGGTGCCCGGAATTCAAAAATGGAGCACTATCTTAACTTTCGGTCGAAAGCTACATACTCGGATAGCCCTAACTGAGCTGATTCCGAATATCACCTTTTAATTCGAATTCGATCAATTTTTCGGGGAGAAATCCTCAACTAAGAGCACCAATAGAACAAAAGATTTGCATCCTTCTGAGAAAACTTGAGATTTTGCCACCTTCCGTTCACTGTAATTCTTCGAATTTGATATATTCGGATTCACCATCAAAAACTGAACCTAATCGTGTAGCTTTGAGTCACAGAAAACAAAATACTTGTGTTACACGATTTTGATAAGAGTAAGCGCTCGACAAAATGAGCTGCCTCTCTCGCAAACCGATCTCCTCCCTGGTTTTGAAACTTTTCTCCGATCGTCATACGCCATTCAAATCAGCATTTAAAGACGAACAAAAGTACGCATCGCTTTTTTCAAAAAGGACGGGGGTCGATAAGAGGCAAAATTGGCCTTCTCAGATCAAGCTCATATTCACAAGTCTGATGTAGTTTTTCTCCGTGATTAAAACCAGCACCTCGAAAAAACCATTTTCACCCCCGCTGGAAAAAAATTCCGCATCCAAACTTGTTGCTCCAAACATGTTGTGAAAAACCGGTTTTTCGTCTGTTACTACCAAAAATTAAAATCCTTATATCTCGATTAAATCTCATGCTGACTCAAGGAAATTTTCAGGAAAGGCTTAAAAGGTGCCATATGTTGTTGACCACGCCGAAAAAGTGGTCCAGCAGAACACTGATGCTCTGAGATTTTTCAGAAGGTTTCTGAAAAACCTTAAGCCAATGCCCAGCTCACATTCACCTTTTTCGTCTTCGATTATGCTTTATGAGCTGTCCTGGGCATTTGCTGAAAATTTCCTTGAGTCAGCATGAGATTTGATCGAGATTTAAGGATTTTAATTTTTGGTAGTAACAGGCGAAAAACCGATTTTTCACAACAATGCCTCTGGCGAAGTTATATTCATTTCTACACAAAAACAAATGTTGCTACTAAGCTCAGTGTAGTCGATTACCTATAGCCCATGGCATTTTGAGATTCCCAGAGATGTCTGCTCGGACATAGACACGTGCTCGGGGAAAGCGAGCCCTACGCGAACGACGACAGCTGGAGAGCCCGGACTTGCATAATTTTGTAGAGTAACGTCCGGACTATCTACGCATGCAAAAAAATTACTAACATTGTATGTTAGTTTTCTGAGAACGGACCTGGTTTTCCAAAGATCTTCTAGAAACCCGATCTCTGGAATTTTTTCAAAAGTTGCTTCCGCTTGTAGAAAGTTCTGCTCAAGTCTTGGCTATTGAGCAGCGAAAATCGCAGGTCTCTATCTCATTCCTATCAAAAGTTATTTAAAAAGTGGCTGACTGTCTTGTATTTTGGAACGCATAGTAGTTGTGTTTCAAACTGAACTAGGCGGTACTAAAATGCAGTGCCGTTCAGTAAAGTTAACTTATATCCTTCTTGTAGCAGCCTCTTTTCTTTTGACACTGTGAAGTTTAACAAAGCAAGAAAACAAAAACGAGCAAATATATGTTTTTAGCAGTTTTCGCATTTTGTTGCTTTTCCTCCATGACATTTTGTACAACATTTATGATTATTTTTTTTACATGAACACCGTTTTGTATTACAGGCACCGGTGCATTTACATGTATCTGTCGATTTAGAATTGGTATAAATTTGACAAGCTTGTATAAAGGTTATCAGTGGTAATAAATCAGTATTTAGGGCGCGTAATGTAGCAAAATTCGCCGTTGTAAGATCAAGAAAAGTAGCTGATTCAAAAGTTCCTATAATAATATCCGTTTGTGTTGCTACAGTATACAATGTTTTACCATTTTCAGTGTTACATCGTACTACTTTACACGGCAATACTGTGGAAGAACTGTTTGTTCTATCAACATCAGAAAGCTTTAAGCCAATTATATCGCCAATAACATATGTCCTTTGACGTTTAGCTGAATTTGTAATATATTTCAGTAATTGTGACTAGCATTAGAAAGATAAGACTTTTTACCTTCTTCTCGAATTTTCTTATGACGATCGTATTGGACTACAAGCACTAAGATCACGGATAGCACTTGAGCTTGCACTGGCGGATGGCTCAAAACTGCTCGAATCTGCGTCATATTGACTGACTCTGCCCTTATCGGATGAGTCTATTATCGAATTTAACCATGTAATCGGGTCATCATTGTTATTCATGTTCTCTTCAGCATCAACAATTGCATTTCGGTGTGAATTTTGTATTCTATCATCAACTGGATAATTTATTACTGAATTATTATTATCATTATCTCCTTCATTATCAGATTTATTATGATTGTACAATAAGTTATCATTATCATTATCTGATTGTGCGACTGTTTTATCAAATTCTTCAAATAATGTTGCTGTATCTAGTGGCAAATTTTCTTCTAACATAATACCTTTTTCAATATCAGGTATAGCCGAATTATTAGCATTATTTTCTTTCATTTGTTGTTGAATAAGTTTCCAAAAATCTTCGTCAGACCGAGGTTGCTGACCGGATACCATCTCAAATTGTGTCATTTTCGTAGTTTTTGCGATACTGGTATTAATAGCCAGCATCACTGGAACAAGAAACAAGAAAATAATAATACCGGTCATCACTAGTTTTAGTCATCCTACCCGGCCTAGTCCAGCAGGCCAGTCTGCCGTTTGATAGGAATCTAACCATTTACCAAGAAGCTGCTGAACGACCGCATTACCACGCTCGACTAAACCCTGTGACTGAAGATGTCGGGGATGCCCATTTATAATAATCAAATCAGTCCATGTTCTTTTCAAATCATAAATTAAGTGAGCAACAAACTCCCGTCCGTTGTCTGACAGCAAAATTTTTGGTGGTCCAAACTGGAAAAAAATTGATTTTAATATTTGTGCAACATTAGCAGTCTCTTTAGTAAACACTGGATGCAACCAAGAATATTTAGAAAAGTGATCTTTTGCGTGAAAAATCCATTTATAGCCATTAAATTCGCTACTGCGCATATCTATTAAATCCATTTCCATTCGTGTCATAAATCCAAGTGATACAACTGGTTTTCCAACAACTGGTTTTGGAAAAACTTTTCGAGAAACACAGTGATCACATAAACTAATAAATATACACACAGCTTCAAGAGGTATGTGCGAATAATGATTTTTCACCTACATTGGACAGAAAAGTCATAAAAAGATACAACCGCAGAATTTTTTCTAATGATATTATTTGTGAACATCCCCAACGGTGGCAACTTTTCTGTCACATACCTCATTCCATGTTTTGTCACGTCCAAGATGTCCTACACTAAACACTAAGAGATAATAACTCAAAACACTAAGAGATAACAACTCAGATATTAAGTGACAACTCTCAATAAAAAACTACCAAAATCTTTTAATTCGATCTAAAACATGGAAATATCTATTGCTTTTACAACTAACACACATCAAAAGACTTTCGCTCTTAGCGAT